ATATATATATTATAATTAAACTTTTAAAAAGAATTATCAGTTATTGAAGAATATTCTTTATTACATAAGAGAATTAATCTTTTTCAAAAGTTTGACAGACATCAAATAAATGAATATCTCCTCAAAATTTATATTTTATACAAACTATAATTTAAACATATATGTTTATTTTATTAAAATATAATTTTTATTTTTTAAAATATAATTTTTATTTTTTAAAATATATTATTTTTTAAATAAAAAATATGTGTGTATCAAATGGTAGTGGGGGCAAGTGCCCTCACTATACATAACCTAGATCCGTACCTGAAGGGAAGAGATGTTTTATAAATGATCATTGGTCTCAATTTTTAAACAAGGTGAGACTTTTAGGTGTACTTAAATAAGGTACTAACTTGATATATTTTTTTTTTATCACTTATCTGATAGTTATGACTAATATCCAAGATAATCTATTTCACCCCGAATGTTATAACTGTCTTTTTCAAATATCATCTTTTATAATATCTTTTTATTTTATACTTTGTTTACAACTTGGTTATATTAATCTAGTGAAAAAAAACACCTTGTACTTCTATTTAAAAAAAAAAAGAAAAAAAAGAAATGTGTAATTATTTAAAAGGAATGTCTCTCTTATTTTTTTAAAAAAATAATAAACAAAAAGGAATAATAGAGTATGAAATTTACATGAAAAATAGTAATTTACAAAATAATAGTTTAAGAATAAAATTGAAATTAAAATGTATATGAAAAAAGACTTATGACCGTTATAATAATTTATTATAGTTATAAATGACTTGATTGGACTGCACATAAACCAATCATTTTAGTTATATATATATATATATATATAGTTTCAATTATTATATTTTTATATTATACATTCTACTACTAATCTTATATATTATATCTTAATTCTCAACTAATTTTAAAATAAAATAATTTGACATATACTTTCATTTTTGCTGATTAGTGTAATAATAAGAAATATCTTGAAGTATAATGTGTTAGAACCAAATTTAAGCTTTTGATGAGAACTATCATCTATATAAAATTAAACTCTATCATGTTAATCACTAGAAACAACAAGCAGAAGCGTACTTGAATTCATAATGATAAGAGAGCTGTGCGGTTTGGCCTTCCAGATCAACATGTATTCTCTTGAGAGAACCCTTTAATTATCTCTCTGTCTCTCTCTAATAATGGGATGTCAGAAAAGAAAAGAACGTAGTGTGATCTGGGGAGCTAACCTATTTATAGACCGTCATAAGGTCTTTTGGTATTTTTATTTTAACTCATCACAAAATAGAATTACCCTTTAG